AAACACGGAAACCATAAAGTAATTGTTTTATAAAATAACAACAACACGGTAGTCTTCCGTGTTTGGATGGCCTGATCCAAACACGGCTTTCGACCAATCAGAATACGCGTTATATACATGTTATTTTATAAATGCTATTTCCTGCATTCTGGGTGTAATTTTAACAAAAAATCAGCAATGCATGATAAACAGTGACACAATGACTATAATTTCATATTAGAATGTTAGGGTTTGTAATCCAAGTGAGTATATATACATTTTAAGGCATAACCAGGAACGACTGCGAAAAATGCAGCACAAGATCCTCTGGTAGGAATTGAACCTACGGCCCTGCGATTCCGGTGCAGCGCTCTAACCAACTGAGCTACAGAGGCCAGCTGTTGAGCTGTTAAACCGTAAGTTCATGTCTATATAGGTAATTGGGTGTGCGGGTTGTGATAAGGTGGACTTCAATGATTTTGATTCTTGCAGTTCACTTGGTGGAACTAATATTTCATAGTGTGTCTCACAATTGTACTACAAGTATTCAATCTTAAGAATCCAAGTACTCTTGGTCCAACATGATCAGGTGCATAATAAAAAAACGTGTTTGTGGTAATATTTTGGACGCTAATTCGTACTTCTACCCTTCATTCGGGGTCTGTTTTCTCTAAACTTGAAGTCTTGCTGCTTTGAATTTTTTCAAAAAAAAAATCTTACCGAGTCAACTGACTCGGTTGACTCCTAGTTAATTACGGGCCTGCTGTATGCATATTTTCGAAACACTTCTTAAATTTTAAGCTCGAAGTTTGGCGAAGTGAAGTTTGATGTGGAGGAAGGAAAGAAGGAGAATCGTTCGAGAGAACTTTTCAACATGCCTCTTGGGGAGTTCTTGAAATCTTACAAAGAAAAAGATATATATCTTGTTGCTTCTGTACCAAAGATAATGAGAGGTATATGTTATTCTCCTTCAGTCATAATTAAGGCATGAGTTGACGGCAACGATAAATTGTTACAGTAAAAAGTAAAAAAATTAATTTCGAGATTTTTGGGCATTTGTTCCATAGAACTAACAGTTGAAGAGTCAGTTTGTGGATAGAATTTTCTAGTGGAAGATTATGTACAATTTACGACCTACAGGAGCAGTTGCGAAAAATGCAACTACAGGGCAGGAATCAAATCTGCTGTCCTGCGATTCCAGTGCAGCGCTCTGGCCAACTGAGCTACAGAGTCCAGTTGTCGAGCTCTAACCACAAGTTCATATATATATATACTAGGGTACTGCCATATGTTGGGTTATGGGTAAATATCAAGATCTTGTTGGCGTCTACTACGGTGCTGTTGGCAGTACCCTAGTACATGTACATGAACTGTAGTTGCATTTTACAAAACAAAACCCTATTACAAATAAATAGCACGTAAATAAATAACTTAAATGTTATGTTCTTTAATGTTAGAACGCTCTATCTCAACCATGTCTGGTATACTCGCTCACAAACACATGCACAAACACCCAGTCTCCGCTTCCGATTTCAAAATTATATCATCAGGCACTTCTGAGTGGGATCTTCTTATCCGTGAAAGCCTATTAATTTCTCAACTTAACCCTGTCCTTAATGCTAATATTAGATCTACCCCTCTTGAGTTATTTTAGTTATGTAATAACCTTAACTATACTAACCATGCACTTAACATTAATCTTTACTTATTAACTAGTTACTGATAAGTTGTTTTCCTTTCTTTCTATTCATTTGTTCTTTCAAATTATGTAACCGTTTTTGTAATAGTAAACCATTATTTTGTAAATATATAT